CGGACGAACGGCCCGGCCGGCCGGCGTCAGGCCATGGCGATTTGGAGGGAGGTTGGGGAGCGGGAGGCGACAAGAGGGGAGACCGTGGAGCCGCAAGTCCCCTCTCCGGCTTAGCCTGCCCTCTTGCCAGGCCACGCGAAGGCGCAGAGGTGGCTTCCCAAGGAAAAGCAGGGATATTTACAAGACAGCAAAACTCGGGGATTTCAGGGTTCACAGCTTCGGGGTGGCGTTGGGAAGAAGGAAGGGACGGCAGCAGGACCGGAGCCTAGGGGGCAGCAGAGGCCCCGCGGAGGGAAGTGTGGACGCTGTGCTGCCGGGTCTTGCTCGTGGAGAGGTTAGTTGTGAGTCGCAGGCGGCGGTCCGGAGCAACGCTGGGGGGTAGTGAGGAGCAACAGGGATGGTTTGCTGGAAGCACGTCATTCACTAGAAAAGTCAGCAGCCTCCCTCCCTCCACCTCTCTGCAGCTCTGTGAGAGTTGGGCCCAACTGCTGGGAATTTGGGTGGCCTTTCCCAAAAGTCCGGAGCAGCCCTGGTCTGCCCTGCCCTCCAGCTCTGCTATCCTGAGCCTATTAGCTGTCCACCACACCTCAACGTTTACAGCCACAGTGATATCACCCACCACTTAAAAAGCACCTACTTGTGACTATTTTTACACAGCTTTATGATGAAGTATTATCTCTTCCACTTTTTAGAGGAGAAAACTGAGAAACAGAAAAGTCATGTTTAAGGTCGTGCAGCTTTCATTCATCCAACGAATGAGTCTAGCTCACACAGGACACGTTATGAGTCTAGCTCTCACAGGACACGTTATGAGTCTAGCTCTCACAGGACATGTTACATACATGCTACATATACACACACATACATGTTATAGCAGATGTTCAATGCATGAATGAAGTGGCTTCGCTGGGAATCAGTCTCGAGTTTAGCCTGAAACCTGTTTTCAGGCAGGGCTTCAAAACAGACTGATACACAGCAGCTCATTTCTGGGGCTTTCAATCACCAATTATTCATCACTTCTCCATTATGTGCCAGGAACTGTTCTGGGGCTGAACAGGCTGTGCAGGGTCTGTCCCCGGAAGCCTGGAGGTTTAATGGGTCCCTGGGTTTTGGGGTAGTACCTCACTGCCTAAGATCCAGACCAGCCCCTCCAAGTCCTTAAAGACGGGTTCCTCTTCCTATTGGAGACCTAAGGTTTCAGTGAGAGGAGGGTAGGGTTGAGGGAAGGCTGGGCACCCCTCAGGTCTCTGGTAAATAGCCTTGCAAGTAGCTACAGGCCCAGGAGCCAATCTGGGCTTGAGGCTGTGGGTTTGTGGGAAGGAATACTGCTCTCATTTTTCTTTGGCTTCCTCAGCAGCCCAGGAGTGGGAGTGGGGTAAGGAAGAAGGTGAGTTCAGCCAGCAGCCAAGGGAGCGGCTGGCACCTCCCACTCCTCTCCCTCCCCAGACATGATGGAGTCCTGTCTAGGCTTGGCCTTGAGGGGACAGGGAGACGTGGGAGAGAAAGAGGCGGGATGGAAGGGCAACGTCCATAGAACTTGTTTTTCCTAGATGTCTCAGTGCGCCCAGGTGGCCTTCTTCCTCCCCATCTTAAGCAATCTAGCCCAGAGCCCTGGAGAAGACCTGTGTTGGGAGCTGAGGAGGAATTCCCAACTGGGAGGAAAGCATACGGGATCTCCTGGGTGGAGGTTTGGGGGTGGAGGGTGTGGATTCTTACCCCAGCCCTCTCCTGGTAGAGAGCAGTGGGGGACAGGGTGACCCCTGGGGAAATCTGCCTCCTGATGATAGTCTTGAGCAAAAATCCCACCTTGGACACCCTCCTCTCTGGTCCCCATCTGACCCCAGGCACTTCCCCTCCCACAAGGCTGCTTGACTCCATGAGGCAGAAGCTATAGAGCTATGGGTGGGCCCAGCTGGGACCAGGGCTCCTCCTTTATTTTCAGAACCCACCCATCCTATTAGAGAGGAGGGCCCTGGGAGTGTGGGGGGCAAAATGAAAGTGCTGGGCCCAGACGCTCTTGCTTTCTTCCCAGTCCTGCCCCATCTCCCCTCCTCCCTCCTTATCATCAGATTTCCTGAAAATGTCAAATCTTTTCTCCTGCTTATTCCCTGGGATCCCCCTACAATCTATTTATCACACAGCAAAACGTGTCACCCCCCTGCTTAAACCTTCCAATGACTTTCCATCATCCTTGGAAAAAATCCAAACTATTCTCTTTGTCTAAAATGTGCTTCTCTCTGATCTTGTCATGGTGGGCTCCTTACCAGTCTAGATTCTGTACAAATGTCACTACATCTTCATGGACTCTTTCCCTGACCACTCAACCTAGAGATCAAGAGAGACCTACTGTCGTGGTCATCTTCTATCTCTCTCCATGCTTAATTTTTTCATAGTACTTAACTATGTGTCTGAAATTATCACATCTATTTGTTTACTGGTAGACTTGGGAGGCAACAGTTAAACGCAGTAGTTAAGAGCAGGGGAAGTGGTTTAATCTAACACTTCCTGGATGTGTAACCTTGGGTAAGTTGGCTAATCTGTCTGAGCCTTGGTTTTCTCATCTGTAAAATGGGGATAGTGGTACTACCCATATGATAGGGTTGTCATGAGGAGCAGGGAGATGATGCCCTCAATAAATGTCCTCAAAAAGGAAGCAATAAATGTTTGCTGCTGTTATTTTGATAATGGTTATGATTTCTGTTTTATGATTACTGTCCTCGTGGCCTAAAGCAGTGCTGAATGAACCAGAAAGTAAACCTTTGCCTAGCATATGAGAAGCACACTTCAAACAGCTGTCTTGTGGAGGGAACGCCATTTTGAAAGTGACAAAGAATGCCATGTGCAGCAAGTAGGGGCAAGAGCACTTGACAGAGAGTCAAGAGACCTTGGTCCTTATCTCAATATTGCTACCACTTTGCTGTAGAACTTGGGCGAGTCACTTTCCTTCACTGTTTCTCAGGCTCTTCAAATAAAATGATGGCTTGAATCAACTGATTGCTGTGCCCCTGCCAGCTTCCAGGGGTTCCGGTCGGGTCCCATGCTCCCTATATCCACTGCATACTCTTCAGGGTTAGGGACACGTGGTGCCTCCCAGCCCTGCTTTTGAATAATCCAAAGCTGCCACGGAGAGAGTTGACCTGGGTAAAACACTCTTGCTTTAAGTCTTTGAACCAGGGACAAAGTCCCAGCCCTGGACACCGGATCTTCTTTCTACCCAGGTCCCTCCTTCCCCTTCAGCCTCGTCCACGTTAGTATTTGAGCCCTGGGGTGGGGAGAGCCAGCCCTGGCTGAGCCCCACCGTGGGCTGGGCACAGGCATGAAGGCCTTGGCCTCAGAGTTATTCTCAGAAGTGCAGACAGGGCATGTGGATGTACACAGATGCATGTGCCTGTATGTACTGGTGGGTATCTGTAGCTATATTTTAACTTGCTCCCATTTTCCTCTCAGGAGTGGCAGGACTGAGATTAATTAGAGGAAAAGATTGCAGGCTTGCAGGGCTGGCATCCTGTACTCTCTAGCTGAGGGAAGAAGTCACCTGTCAAATGCGATGTTGCAGGGCTAGTTTCCTTTGTCTGCACTCCCCACCCCCAACTCGCCCAAGATAAGCACATGGTCCAGCACAGCAGGACTTAGGGGCACAGCGGGCTTGGGGGGAGCGCCTGTGGGGCTCAGAGGGCTGGAGCTTTTCCAAGGGGCCAGGAGGGCTGCAGGCCTAGGAGCAGGTGTTTCTGGTGGTGGCCTCATGCAGAGTCCTTTGTCCCCTGGTCATTGCTGCCAGATTTGCCAGCGCTGTCCACCCCTTACTGGAGCTGCCTATCTGCTCCTCGAGTCAGTCTGGGGGACTGGGCAGACAGCCGGTAAGATCTCCAAGGGGGAGAAGGATGAAGGGAGGAGATCTCCTCTTCCCATCTCAGTCCTCTTTGTTTCAAAAACTGAGCCCACCTGCCCCACACCTGTCTACCCAGCTCACCTGGGATGCTGCATCTAAAGCTGAGGCCTGGCCTTCTGTCTGTTTCCCTTTCCCTCAGTAGGGTAGGTTTTGGAAGGCGGGGCTTGATCTTCTATGTTGAAGGAGGAGTCCGTGCACTGTGCACTGAGGTGTGGCATCGGCTGGGCTTGCCCAAGCTGGGCAAATGAAGCCGTAAAAAGGCTGGTCCCCAGGGTGCAGTGGGGTCTCTACCACCCTTCTCTGGCTTTCTCTCTCCTCCTCTAAGTGTAAGACCCAGTTGTTTTTCCTTTATTGTTTATGTGCTCTGATGATTTTTCTACTGGGTTGTAGAGACC